TTCCACAGGCCTTCATTCACAGGACATTTATTTGCTTTGCAGAAAGCCTGGGCCACATGAACTGCAAAAAATGAATCCAATATTAATCTCTCAGAAAGTCAGTTTAGTGCCACATTCAAAAGGATAATCATGTTTCAGTGTATTTACCTCCAGTTTGATGAGTATAATGAATGCAGTCAGGGGGCAGTCGTGGCCTGATGGTCAGAAAGCTGGCCTTGTAAACCGATGGTGAACCTGAAGGTCGTGGGTTCGAGTCTCAGTTCTAGCAGGGATTGTAGGTGGGGGGGAGTGAATGACTCAATACCACGACTGAGGTGAGTCCCCTGAGCAAGGCACCGAACCCCCCGGGTGCTGCGGCAAAAAAAAAGGCTGCCCACTGCTCCGGGTGTGTGTGTGTGTGCACTTGGATGGGTTAAATGCAGAGCACAAATTCCGAGTATGTGCCACCAAACTTGGCTACACTTCACTACATTTTCGGAAGTCTTCTAGTGGGGTATTTTGGGTCTTTTAGGAGATAGTTTTTACCTATCAACTGTGTCTGGCTTTTCCATCTTGCACTGCATCGATTTTTATAATATGACTTCACCATGACTGTGCATGTAATTTATTATGAGACAGACACCATGTCTGATAGGTTTAGTAATATTTGCTTCTTATTTGTATAATGTTGAGAAATCCTCATTTCTGCGGTGATCACTGGCTTCATACCACTTTCCCTCCTCTGCACAGGGTTTTTTTTTTTTTTTAAACTGTTGCCATAGAAAATAAATATTTTTGATGCAAAGTGAATTTACTGTAAAATTCTGGATAAGGAGGAGACTCTGCCTTCCTGTCAGTTTCCTGCTTTTCTTTTTTTTATTCAATTCAGGAACCATCAGAAAGTGATAAAAATGTATTTATTTGCATATACAGTTATAGTAAAATTGGCTTACATCAAAACTTTGTTTAGCCATGATGTTCTTCATCTGGGTAAACATACTACAATATTTACAGTTTTGCTTGTTAGGGTGCACAGATTTTTTTCTTTTTTTCTTTCTTTTTTTTTTTGCAGAAAACATTTCCAAACCATGGCAGTCTATAGTAACTCGTTTTTGTTTCACAAAATGTTTAACTTTTTTTTTTTTTTTTTTTTTTTTTTTTTTTTTTTTTTTTTTTTTTTTTTTTTTTTTTTTTTTTTTTTTTTTTTTTTTTTTTTTTTTTTTTTTTTTTTTTTTTTAGGAATTACTGATTTGTGATTTGTTCATAGATGTTTTTCTGAGACTATTTGGAACAGTGCCGATGTTTATTCATTTTCAGGAGAAGCACTGAGTGCAGATAAACCTTCTGAACTGTAGCGCACATAATAGATCAACCTCCCCCACATCTCAGCCAAACCTCTGGCAATAGTTATTTATCCATGAAAGGAAACACATGTATCCAAAAGGTGATGAACAGTGACTAATCCAAGCAAACGTTGTACACATTGGACTTAATCAGTAATTAATGTGATTCACTCTTATACAAAGTGTACTGTCACTTGGTCTTTGTCACTTTAATTCAATAATTATTCAAGCCACACTGCAGCCTTGCCTGTACTCTGTGTTTTACACCATAATGTTGGTCGTGTAATTTGTATGTAAAGCATAAAACTAGACAGATAAAGACTGGAATAGCATTGTTCAGCTTGGGTGATCTCTGTTCTTGGCTGACAGGAGTAGAACCTGATGTGGTCTTCTCCTGTTGTAGCCCATCCACCTCAAGGTTTGACGTGTTGTGCATTGTGAGATGCTTTTCTTCTCACCACAGTTGTAAAAAGTGTTTGTTTGAGTTTACCATAGACTTCTTGTCAGATCCGACCAGTCTGACCATTCTCCTCTGGCCTCCCCCATCGACAAGGCATTGCTGCCCACAGAACCAGCGCTCACTGGATGTTTTTTGTTTTTTGCACCATTCTGTGCAAACTCTAGAGAACGTTGTGTGTGAAAATCCCAGGATATCACAGGAAATACTCACCAACAACCATGCCCCTACATGATTTGGCTGATTGAGTAACTGCATGAAAATGCAGGGCAGTTGTGTTTATTGAATGGAGTCGCCAAAGATTAATGATTATTTTTGTTATAGTGTCGAAGCGCCTGCAGGACAAATGCGGTTTGTAGTCAGGGTGATTCAGCAAAGACGTTTATTATTCCATGCCTACAGTCTAACCTGTTCATTTTGACACAGTTGTCTGAATCAGTTCTCAGAAATCCACATAAACTATTTTTCTTCTACAGAACTACACAGACTGCGCTTGCGTGGGTCCAGCAGGTTCTCAGGGTTACGCCATACCAGGATCGTGTGGGAACGGCTGCTCTCACCTCCTCATTCCTTTCATGGTTTTATCCTCGCTCACATGCTTCTTAGCGTCCCTCTCTCAGACACCATCGTTTATGATGATTCTCAGGTACTTGTCCCTCGCCATGCTTTTCATACATCATGTTTTATTAGCAAAATCGCACTGCATAGAAACAACTCATTAAAAAAAGATTCATAACTTAAAAAAAAAAAATTGAAGGAATACACGTGACCCATCGATGGGATGAAGAAGAGCAATCTGATAAGATCAGCTAAGGTGCAATGAAATAATCAGGCCACTCGTATGCTTGGTGAAAAAATAAAAGCAAAAGTAAATATTGTTTCCGTTACATTTTTGTATATTTGTACATTTTACATATTTGACTATAATGACCAAACCATATTTGATTCCCATAAGTCCACAAATTTATAGAATTCATTGCATATCATTGCATAATTAGAGACTGAGAAACAAGTAATGCAGAAAAAGGAGAGTACTATTTGCCTGTAGTGTCCTGTGTTAGCTTGTGATCCACAAAGAAACACCTTCATGTTAGTTCCTGCCTCAGGTGTTACTGTTTTACATAACTTTCGCTGTTTTGCCCTAGTCTTTGTCAAACCGTTGGCGCCAGCAGCTCAAACCTTTTTTGGATCAAACTTTTTTTCTAAATGAATAAGAATAGTGGACCATGACCAAAGCAAATATGTTTAGCTTCAGACTGCAAGGATATGTTTTTTAATTCAGCCAGTTTTTTTTTTAGACTCAAATAGGATTTTCGTTTTTACTATAAATGACATTTCCAGGTTCTAGCCGTTGCTCTGTTTTTACCCACATATTAATTTTATGCATTCAGAAAGTGCCCCATGAGAACCGAGTAAAGTGGGGAAAAAATACAACCGTTTGGCTTCACTTGAAAAAGAAGATGTTTGTCATTAATTATGTGAGCTCAGCGTGCCCATACAGGCCTGAGAAACCACACACTCCTTACAAAAACAAATGAAACGAATGACACACATCAGCACTAAAGTCAGTGCCAAGGGAGGGATTTAATGCAACTAGTCCCTTATAGAAAAATAATAATCACATGATTCACAGGTGAAATTTACATTATGTTTTAAACATCTTTCACATGCAGGACATTTGTTTTTTGTTCATTATTTACACACGATTGATTTAGTTTCACATGTGATTTTTCCAAGATACATTATTTTCCATGGGATTTTTACAAGAAAAATATTTTAGACTTGATTTTTAAACTATTCAGTATTTTCAAATGTGATCTTTACACATGATTAATTTTCCACGTGATATTTTTTTTTACACACGATTAATTTTTCCATGTGATATTTACATGATTCATTTATATTCATGTGATTTTGACATAATTAATTTTTTTCCCATGTGGTTTTTATACGATTACTTTTTCATGTGAGCTTTACACGATTGATTATTTTCGTGTGATTTTTTGCACACAATTCATTTATTTTCATGTGTGATTTTTTTTTTACACTTCAGTTTCACATGTGATTTTTTATACAATTCATTCATTTTTACATATGGATTTTTATTCACATGAGATTTTACAGGATTCGTTATTTTTCCATGCGATGCGTACACATGATTCATTTATATTCTATCTTTGATGACATTTATTTTCACCTGATTTTTATCCTTGATTCATTCATTTTTCAAATGTGATTTCAACGAGATTCCTTTTTATTTCCACGTGATTTACACACACTGCATTTTTCACATGTAATTTCTACACCTGATTTTCACATGATTCATTTTCACGTCATTTTCACACGACTAATTTTTCACGTGATTTTTGCACATGATTAATTTATTTTCACAATCAACAATAACATGGAACGTCCTACATGAGTAGGTAAATATACAGGATGATTAAATGTTAAAGTTAAAACTCCAGTTTTATAACAACAGTGCAAAAGTGGAGACCCTTTGAAGCAATGAAGTTGCATTTTCACAGTCCATCATTAGTAAAATATACATACACGACGTGACAGTTGCACAGCTGTGATCTGAGAGATTTGCTTATACATTTTTGTGTGTCCTCACTTTCACACAGGACTGTGACTCCAGAAGACAAATCCTTTGCCCTGGGAATCCAGTTCATGCTCTTCAGAGTGCTTGGTCAGTGCCAAAAACCTATCTTGTGGGAACGCTCTATAGCAGCTAAGCTATTACCCATAGCGAAAGCATATTATCTGTCAAAATAGATTGGTTCAGTGACCTTTTTGCACTAAGATGCCTATCTTGTTTTTTTTTTAATGGCAAGTTATGAAAGCTTGACAGTGATTAGAACCAGTTTAACCTGGTATCATTCAACACATAAAGAACAGCATGAGAAAACAGCAACTACGTGAATTCCGTGCAGAGTACCATACGTACAGTATGTCTTTACAAATCATTTAGATTTAACACCAAGATATGGTGCATTTTTCACATTTACACTTTGTTCAGAATGTTTCAACGCGAGACAGATCGTCTTTGAGATAGCGATTTACTGAAAAAGTACCTTTTGGCAAGTGAATAAAGGAATAAAAGAAAAATGATCTAATATTTCTCACTATGAGATTTTTATATAACAAATATAAGAGCATTGAGCCTATTTCTAGACATGTTGACTAATTTCAAGCTTATACTTGTGTCTTATTCTGGGTCCCTGGAGGACTAGTGGTTAGGCCTTGGGGCTCTCACCGCTGGAGCCCAGGTTCGATTCCCGGTCAGGGAACCATCCCCAGCCACTGGGGTTGCACGTGACTGTGCACTCCCAGTGCCAGTCACAATCCTAGATAAAATTGGGAAGGGTTGCGTCAGGAAGGGCATCCAGCGTAAAAACTGTGCCAAATCACAAATGCAGACCAATGATCTGCTGTGGCGACCCCTAACGGGAGCAGCCGGAAGAAGAAGAACAGCTTGTGTCTTCAACTGGCAGATAATTTTGCTTCTTTCCAGAAATAAAACTTGGCTATATAGCAAAATTATCTTCTTCCAACAGAATAAGACAAACTCAAACTTGAATTTCAAACTTGATTCAGGCTTAATAATCATATCTACTGTATATTTTTTTTTATCTAATAAAGAGAAATAATAGTTCAATTTGCATATTTTACTTCCTATCTTTTTTTTGTGAACTAAGTGTGAATAAAATCAATAATATGTATGTTGAGTATAGAATAATGATGTTGAATTTGTTTCCCTGACAGCGTTTCTCCCAGCACCTGTCCTGTATGGAAGTGCCATTGATTCGACCTGTATTCTGTGGGGGAAAAAGTGTAACAAGAACACTTCCTGTCAATACTACAACTTAGATTTTTTCAGACAACGGTAGGTCCATTTTCCTCTCCACGGTCATAATGTGTCTTAGAGTGGACAAGCAGCAATGTTCAGGGAGAAAAAAAACTAATATTTTTTTTTTTATTAAATTTCAGATTTCTTGGGCTTCAAATTTTTTTCGTGTTTGGAGGTCTGGTCTTTTTCTTTCTCTCCTTTTTGGTTCTGAAGAGAGCAGATTCTGCTCAGCGAATGAAATTGGAACAGAGGAAGAGCGGCGCCGCGAATGAGAAGCAGGACATGAAAGACTCGAAAACGTTTCTGATCTACTCAAATGCACAAAATGACAAACAGGAATCTCGAGAGAGGAAAGATGAGAAGTACTGAGGAATTTGCAACAAATCTTCAGCATTTTTTTTTTAGGGGGGCATCAGGATCAAACCTAAATTTGGAAAGAAAAAAAAAAAAAAAAGAGTCTGCTCTAAATCATCATCTAAGAGTCATAAAAACCGATATTATATGCTTTTCCATCAAAAGTAAAAGCTCATCGCCACTTTTGTGCAGATGAAGCATCTGCATGTGTGAACATATTCAATGTGCTTACCCACTGTGAAGCCACCGTAGCTTTTTCTTCATTTGAGCCTTTAGTGAAACTTATGAGAGCTTGTCCAGCTGATTTGTACTACATTAGTCCACTATGAAGGTGGCATTATGAAGATGGCATAAAGATGGACCAGGTGTGTCATGAGTGTTCCAGTCTTGGTTGAGGTTTGGTATACCTGTTCCAAACTGCTTTTATCAGTTTAAAAAAAAAAAAAAAGAAAAGAAATGAAGGAGAGTTTGGTTGCAGTTTGTTACTGGAGTGTTACTGATGAAAATACAGAGGGCATTAGAAAATCCTTTAGGAGGACAGTCCAGTTAACTCCTACCGGATTTAACACTTATTCTGTACTCTAGGCTGGAAATGTAGAAAGCCTTACTGTGATTGGTGAAATGAGTTTAAAAATACAGAAATGTAAACTTTCTTCTTAACATCATACATTGATCTACAATATAAATGATTTTTTTTTTTGTTAATGGTATAATATGCTAACAGTTTACTTGTACACTGAAAATATATTTGGCTTAGCTTTTCTATATGAATTTGTTACATTTGGATAACTGTTAAATATTAAGGCACATGCATTTTAACTGTGACAAATGTTTCCTAAACACAAGTACAGAAGTTCAGATTGACTGAGGAAAGAAAAACTTAAGTACACTCATGGAAATAGGAACACACGTACTCCTGTTCATTCATGCAATTGTCCAATCATTCGATCATGTGACAGCAGCACAGTGCATACAATTATGCAGATACAGATCAAGAGCTGAGGCTATAGTGGGCACAGGTTAAACCAAACTTTAGAAAAACATCGGCTGATCTTCCTCCAGTCTTTCGTCCGGTCCGGTTTCGGTGAATCTGTGCCCACTGTAGCATCAGATTCCTGTTGTTGGCTGATGAAGACCAGGACGTGGTCTTCTCCTGTTGTAGCACATCCACCTCAAGATCTGACACGTTATGCATTGTTAGATGCTTTTCTTCGTACCACGTTTGTAAAGAGTAGTTATTTGCATAACTATAGCCCCCCCCCTGTAAGTGTGAACCAGTCTGACCATTCTCCTCTGACCTCTCTCACCACAAGGTGTTTCTGCCTGCAGAAGTGCCACCACTAGATGTCTAGATGTTGTTTTTTATTATTCAGACCATTCTATGTAAACTCCAGAGACTATTATGAATAAAAATCTCAGAAGGTCGTCAATTTCTGAAATACTCAGACTGGCACCATACCAAGCTCAAAGTGAAAAGTCACTGAAAGCACATTTGTTCCCCATTCTGATGTTTGATGGGAACATTACCTGAAGCTCTTGAGCTGTATCTGCTTGATTTTATGACTCACGCTGCTGCCACATGATTGGCTGTTTGGATTGCGTGAAGTGAATGAGCAGGGGTACAGGTGTTTATATTAACGTGGCGGGTGAGTATACGCTAACTCTAACACTAATTCAATATCATTGTTAACAATGTAGCAATATAATAACTGTAATTTGAAATGTGAATTGTTTGGAGAAATGGTGAAATGTCACTGAATTTTTTTAAATAATCAAATGTGACACCTAAACATAATACAAATGTAATCGCTTTTTTGACCAAATGTTGTTTCCACTGGCCTTCTTGCTGGTGTACTGTATTTCTGTGTGACTGTGTACATTTATAAAAAGTCATATATAATCTTGATCGTTTAATCTTGTATTATTACACACATTTACTAACCCACTCACAGAGGGACAGATAACAACCTATTGTTATCCTTCCAGTATTTTTATGTTTATTTGCTTTCGTCCTCTTGTGTCTTTCTCCATAACTGGGTAGCATTAAAAACCATTCATCTGTTACTGTGACAAAAAAAAGCTGATCTAGGGAGGATGGGGAGGACATTTTTGTACAGGGGGCATTGCTCCTTAATAAACATAAAATAATAATCATGACCATTTTGCATTTGCTGCAAAAGAAATAAGTTCTTGCAAATCAGTTCTTATGTCTGTTAAAAAAAATACAAAAAGAACTGATTTACAAAAACAAAAAAAATCAAAAACTATAGTTTCTATTTTAAAAACTCATCATAATAAACTATGGTGTGTACTAATATCACATCTCCTGCAGCATGTGATGTCATTTCCTCAGGACCGATGTGGCTGCAGGCCTTCATACTAGCCAAATAGGAGGCATACTTGATAACTAAATGGAAAACAAGATGAGCTGATTATCATCTTGATCTCCAATGAGCGTATCAAGTGTGCTTCCTATTTGGCTGAAATGAAAGCCCGAAGCCACATCAGCCCTTTGTGGATAAGACTGAAGACTCCTGGCTTAGAACATTTACCTAAACCACAACAGATTAGAAATCAACAAGAAATACATGGACTAGGCATAATGCTGTGATCTGTGGTGAGGAATTGTTGGCCCAAGAACTCCTAGAAAGTACAAAGATGTGCAACAACAGACTGTCGTGCATTCTGAGATGCTTTTCTGCTCACCACGGTTGTAAAAAGTGGTTATTTGAGTTACTGTAGCCTTCCTGTAAGCTCAAATTAGTCTGGCCATTTTCTTCTGGCCTCTCTCATCAAGATGTTTTTTTTTTTCCACCCGTGGAACTGCCACGTATTAGATGTTTTGTTTTTTTTCCCCCACACTATTCTGTGTAAACTATAGAGGCTGTTGTGAGTGAAAATCCCAGGAGATCAGCAATTTCTGAAATACTCAAACTGGCACCAACAAACATACCACGCACAAAGTCACTGAGATCACATTTCCCCCCATTCTGGTGTTCGATATGAACATTATCTAATACAAACATAATATTTACAGTACATTAACACAATGTTTATTCCACTGGCCTTCCTGCTGGCGTACTGTATTTCTGCGTGACTGTGTACATTTATCAAAAGTCATGCATAATCTTGACTGTTTAATCTCATATAATTACAGACAGTTGCTAACCCACTCACTCAGAGGGACAGATAAAACATCCTGTTATCATTCCAGCATTTTTGTGTTCATTTACCCTCTTCCTCTCAGACTTTCACCATAATGATGCCGCTTTCATGTCCTCCTCGGACGTTCATGTGTACGAGATGCGTAGCTGTGGTGAGTACTGTACAATGTGGCATTTTCAAGTGGTTTTGGTCTGAAAAGTGGATGGTGTGAGAAACCTTCTTTTGTTTTTGTTCATGTATTGTATCGTAAATTACAAGTAGTTTAAGTAGCCTTAATGAAAGGAAATAAAAAACTGAACAGTTAAGGCGAAAATTACCACTTAAATCTGACGCCCACAACTTGGAGTGTCATTGCAAAATATGAGTTCCTGAGCTGTAATTACAACATTGCAGTGCCGTTAAAGTCCGCTCATCTCGTAATTATGATATTTCTAATGGGATTTGATGGCAGCAGTAGCTTGAGTAGTATTAGAAACCAATCAGTGTCCATCTATTACTGAGACAAAAATAAGCTGGTCTATAGAGGAAAGAGAGGACATTTTTGCCATGGGGTCATTGTCATTGGGGTCAAGTACTTGTAAAACAGTTCATTTTATGTGTGTTTAAAAAAAAAAGCAACTATATACTGTCATTTGTTCGTTCCAACCAAATATGAGGCACACTTGATAGCAGATTGGAGAACAAGATGAACTGATTAAACAAGTGAAATTACGTGTGGCTTTTTAAAAAAAAAAAAAAAAAATCAGGACATCTTGATCTCAAAAAATGCACAGTTGAAGAACGGAAAAACATCATCTGGTCTTTCTCCAATCTTCAACTGTCAAGTTTGGGTGAGCTCATGTCCACTGTAGCCTCCATTTCCTGTTCCTGGCTGAGAAGAACCTAGAAACCTAAAGTGGCCTTCTGCTAGCGTGGCCCTTC